TCATGGCCCACGGGTTAAAAAACAGTCCTGATGCTAAAAATATCAGGGAGTACCAAGCCAGGCTGGAAATCAGCCCGATGGAATTCTGTAAAGACAAATGACAAGTCACCTGAGAAAACCAAAAAGCCCCGCAGCTCCTGGTGCAGAAGTCAGCCTGATCCAGCACCGTCAGCGGGTTTGGTGAGACTGCATTGGTTGTAAACTCTGCTCTTACTGGAGTCAGGTTTTTCAGGAAGAAGCCACTCAGGATCCCAGGTTCTCTCTGCTTGTTAACAGCAATTGTGGAAAAGGTCTGTAGTTCCACGGCACACACAATTGATCATAGATCCTCTCTCCTCCCCCTAAATAACTGCCATTCCAATTCCCACAAAACACATGCAGGGGCAGTGCTCAAGCTGGGGACCCTGGGAAGTCTTCAGGCCACCGCTGCATGGGGGGCTGCCCCAGGAGAGCAGGGCGAGGGTGTGGAGGCCTGAAGCTCTGATGGCCCTGCCCACCTGAGACACGGGCCCACACAGAGGAGGTGGCCTTGTGGGCTTCCCAAGGCCTGGGTGTCCTCCGAAGGCATTTGATAGAAGGATCTTTGCAAACAACATCCCTGCTCACCTACAGGCAGGGGGGTGTGTGTGTGTGTGTGTGTGTGTGTGTGTGTGTGTGTGTGTGTAAAGCAGGATTTCAGTGTTCATGGTGGAATGTGAAAATGAAAGCCTAAAGCTGAAAATTGAAGCACACATGATAACACACCTGAACACTGCTCTGTGCTAGGTGGTTGTTCCAGAGTGCAGGGCCCTGGGAACCCCCCACTTCCCGACAGAGCCCAACACTCTGTGTGAGGCCCACCTCCAAGTGGACCAGGGTGGAGACCTGCACAAGAGCACAAACGTGGACCCATCTGATGCCTCCAACAGGGCTGAGGGTAGCTTTTTGTCCTTCCTGAGCATTTTCACTGGGGGTGACATGGGAGGTGAACGAGGCACTGGGGCTGGGAATTGGACAGAAGAGCAGGGAGCATGGAGGCCAGGGACTGACGAAGGGGCTGAGGACCAGGGCTTCCCACTGGAGTGGTGTGGGGAGGTACCAAGTCCAGGACCACATTTGGGGAGAAAGACAGCTGGCCCTGAATGTCCTTATCTTGTGCTGAACAGTGCCCTTGGGGCCCTCAGAAGGGCTTGAAGATGGAGCCCCTCAGTGGCACACCACCTGAGTACATCCATCCATCCACAGAGCCAGGAGCAGCCATGGTGTCCCCTGCAGTCCCAGAACTGTGACTGGAATGTAGGACTGCCAGGGGGAGCAAGAAAGAGGCTCTTTGGTGGGGTGGAGGGCCACACTCTAGGACTCCTGGTGCATTCGCCCTGGGCCATTTCTGCATCCCTTGCAGTGCTTGAAAGTGCTCACCATAAGCAGCCAAAACCCACCTTCTGAAGATTGCAGGAGGCACGGAAACCTCACCTGCTTGTTTGTGATCATGGCTGAGGACCTGCAACGCTGCATCACCGCATACACACCGGGCTTTCACCTGAATCAGTGAGTCCCTGCCAGCCAGCCATGACTCCCTGATAAGTCATCGGTTCTGGGTCTGTAGGCAGACACCCAGCCATCTGCTCAGTGACCACCCTCTCCTTGTAGTTCCATGGTGTACCCTGGAAACTTGTAGGACACCTTGTACCTTTTGGACACCTTGTAGTTCCTCTCACCGCAACCCCAAACCTACCAGCACCGCTTCCAAAGCCCTTCCCTAGTGGAGCTACTTAACCGTATCAGCAGGACCTGCAGAAACCACTTTACAGGAATGCAGAAGAAAAGGTGGTGCCTGTGTCATTTCTGCCGTGCCTTGTCTCATGCACATGGAGGAATGGGATGCACCGGCCAGCCTGAACTCCAGGGCATCCACCCAAAGAAACTGTCCCCAGCCCCTGGTGCCTAAGTCTCCCTCTAGGGAGTCATCAGTCAGCATGGGAGAGGGCAGCCTTGGCAGAGGAGCTCATTTGCTTCTGTCTGACTTCAGGGCAGTGTCTCAGGGTGCAGAGAACCCAGAGTAGGGAGGCCTCGGAGCAGAAGGGGCCCAAGGCAGGGCACTGAGCTTCGTGGGCTACCCCATCTCCCCATCCCCTGCCTGTCACAGTGTCCAGAGTAATGGCCACCTTGTCCTAGATGTGCAGCTGGATGACCCCCAGGGAGAACACACCATGGACTGTGTGTGCACACAAGACACCTCCACCTCGAGACTGGGCCGCAAGGAGCACATTTCTGGACAGGGGACTGGGGCCTGGCCCTGTGTTCACCAGGCACCCGCTTCCTTCCTGGGTGCCAGATGGTTCTGTTCACACTCCTGTAGGCTCCATACTGGGCTGATCGTTAGGGCATCTGGGCCTGTCCATGGGGAGGTGGAAGAAAACACATCACAGATGAGGTCCCAAGCACAGGCAAGCCCGTGTCTCCCTCTGTCACTCCCCTCCACACCTGGGCCTGGAGTGAGACGTTCCAGATAATGAGAAAGTTGCTCCCCACTATAGAATATATACATAAATGTAAAATACTGACAAAAGTGGAAGTAGTGTACTTTAAAGTAATTACACTTCTGAATTCATTTTTCATATTCCTTTTTTTATTTTTTCATTTTTTGAGACGGAGTCTCGCTCTCACCCAGGCTGCAGTGCAGTGGCGTGATCTCGGCTCACTGCAAGCTCCTACTTGAGCCACTTCTTCAAAACAGGCCATATTGAAGGTACCCACAGCCTCTGGTGAGTGACTGGTAGCCTCAGACCCAACTGCCACCTGCTGCCAGGTTCTCCTGTGGAGAGGGGGAAGTGAGGGAAGCTGGCACAGGCCCAGCCCTCTCAGCTGCCCTGAAGGCTAGTCAGGGTCCCCTGCAAGGCCTTCTAGCCTTCTGCTTCCTGGAAGGCCACCTCAGTGCCTCCTTCTGGCCTGTCTGAGTCTCTGGGAGGAGAGGGCTCAATTTCCCACCGGGCAGAGTGCCCAGGGCCATCCAGCCTCCTGCCCTCCGCTGACCATCATGGAGCCCACACCTGGGCCCATCTACCCAGCCATGGTTCTTTAAGGGCAGGATTTCATTTGCATCGGACATTTGGCTTGCTGGTGTTTAAAAGTTACTAGTGATGTTGCTAAGAGAAATGAGGAAAAAGTGTTGCTCAGTAAAACTCTCATAACCTTACTTCCTAGAGATGATGATGGAAGAAGTAGGAGCTGGAATTTCTTGGGTTCTGACTTTATCAGGGATGGTGCAGCTGATTTCTACACATAATATTCTATAATCTTTTGAACACCTTGTAAATGTCAACACTTTTATTGTTACTGTTTTTGTTGTTACTCAGGGATGAGGAAACTGAGTCTGACAGGTTCCTGCCCACGCCCACCTGGCACACAGCTGCTGCACCCCAAACCTGCTCCAGCCCTCATTCATCACTAAGGGCTGCTGTCTCCTTGTGTTCAGTTTTTTCAAAATATGAAAAGTCCTTTTCTAAATATGAAGAGACTGAGGCTAAGGTCCCTGGGTTCCCAAGGCAGGCCTGGTTGCCTCCACCATCGAGGTGAACTTGGCCAGGTAGATACAGCCTGAGGCTCCTGCGAGTGGAATTCCAACAAAAGTCCCAAAGGGACAGTTATCTTTACATAGGATGCCAGCAGAGAATTTTGCTACACTGGAGGAAAGAAAAGGAGACCGTGAGGAATATGGTCATGATCTCCACACTGTCTTCAAGAATGGCAAGGTGACAAAAGGCTACTCAACTGATGAAAAAAAAAATGCACAGGTGAATACGGAACTGGAAGCAGCATCTCATTAGGCTTTGTTTTATGACTGGGTGCGTGTTGCGTGTGTGTGTGTGTAATACATGTTTATTGTACAGATGTGTGGGGTTTCTTTGTGTTTTATGATACACTCCAGCCAAATTATCTGTTGGTTTATGGACATACTGCCCTTTCATTTTTTTCCCCAATGTTTAGGTGATCTCAAATTAGGAAATGCCCTTAACCATGTAAAAGATTAGTGCTAAAGTAAGCTTTTTAGGGCCCTTTGCCAATAGATAGTCATTCAATCTGGTATTGATCTTTTCACAAATAACAGAACTGAGAAACTTTTATATATAACTGACATATATAACTTTTATATTTAACTGTTTCACATAAAACAGATTTGCATAAAATTTTCATGATTGCTTTGTTTATATTTAACTTGTATTTTTGTACAAACAAGATTGTGTAAGATATATTTAAAGTTTTAGTAATTTAACTGTCCTTCCAACATTTCATGATTTTTATGAGCACAGACTTTCAAGAAAATAGTTGAAAATAAATTACATTGCCTTTTGTCCATTAATCAGCAAATAAAACATGGCCTTAACAAAGTTGTTTATGTTATTGTACAATTTGAAAATTATATCAGGACATACCCTATAGAATTACTAACAGCAGTGGCCCTTGTGGAATACATATTAATCATGCCACATTAAAGAAAATAATGATTCTTACTGGAATGTCTAGGCACTTTACAGTGATTAAATATCTTGGTCGTTGTATTGTATCAGTGAAATGCCAAGTTTGAAAGGCCTGTACTGCAATTTTGTATGTCAGAGATTGCCTGTGGCTCTAATAGGCACCTCAAGATTTTTAGGAGATAATGTGTTTAGAGAGAATTTCTGCTTCCACTATAGAATATATACATAAATGTAAAATACTGACAAAAGTGGAAGTAGTGTACTTTAAAGTAATTACACTTCTGAATTCATTTTTCATATTCCTTTTTTTATTTTTTTATTTTTTGAAACGGAGTCTCGCTCTCACCCAGGCTGCAGTGCAGTGGCGTGATCTCGGCTCACTGCAAGCTCCGCCTCCTGGGTTCACACCATTCTCCTGCCTCAGCCTCCTGAGAAGCTGGGATTACAGGCACTCGCCACCACGCCCAGCTAATTTTTTGTATTTTTAGTAGAGACAGGGTTTCACCGTCTTAGCCAGGATGGTCTCAATCTCCTGACCTCGTGATCCGCCCACCTCGGCCTCCCAAAGTGCTGGGATTACAGGCGTGAGCCACCGCGCCCGGCCTATTTTTCATATTCTATAGTTGGTGTGACTTAAATGAATTATCAGAGTGGGTACTGAGTGTACTTATTTTAAATGTTTTGATTCTATTATATTTTTATTATCTTTAAAAATTAAATTGGATATTAAATTGTATGGACACTATTTATTAATTTTAAACAGAATCCCCTCAATAAATAATACCTAAGCACATTCTTAAACAAAGATAAATTATCTCCACTGAAAAGCATGACATGTGTTTCAATAGAAGAATCTTAACTAAAACAGAAAATTGGCTAAATTCAAAGTGCTTGACATCAAAATGTTCTAGAGTGATTAGCTACTAGATTCTGAATCTGAATCAGACATCGCATCTGACTAGAGACCAGTTTCTTTCAAATGATTCTTTTATATATGCAGATCTGTTCTTCTGAGGCAGCAGTTGGCCCGAAGGTCAAATTTGGATTTTTTTTTTTTTTAATAAGTGCAGTCTGTCTACAGCTGCTTTCCCACTACACCAGCCAAAGGTAAACAGCTGCAATAGAAGCCGAATGAGATTCACAAAGACCAAAATGTTTATTATCTGGCCCTTTACAAACACACAAAATTTTCCTGATCTCTGTTCTAAGAAATGGAGTGTGCCTTGCATTTAAAGGGAAATGTTTTCTAGGGAAGGGAGGAGGCTAAATAATTGATACGGAATTTTCTCTTTTGTCCTTTTTTTCTCATTTAAGCATCTGATACTGGAACACTGATTTAGAAACGTTTTAACATGACATTAAATGAGAAATTTAAAAATTGAAAACCCATAAATCATGTGTTGCAAATAGCTACATGAAGAAATGTTTTATCGCTAGAATAATGTAATTAGAAGTGAGTTATCTTCATTAAATGTTTTTTCTAAGTGGTATTAGAAAGAATATGTTTTTCAGATGATTCTCTATAAACAGTGAGAACAATAAGCGTTATTCACTTTTAGTAAGAGTCTTCTGCAATCCATGGTAGAAAATAATTTTAAAATGATTTTTAATGTATTTGAGTAAACATAAGTAGTATTTTAAAAAACACATTTCTTCACAAAATGTGCTAAGGGGTGTGTACAGAATCAAAATAAACTATTACCAATAATAGTTTTGATAATCACCCATAATTTTGTATTTAAACCATTTAAACATTGAAATTATACTACAGACAGTATTCTCTATGTTCTGTGAATTTCACCAGCTGCAGAACAGAGTTTCATTTTGAAACTTGCAGTGAAAAAAGCTATCCATTTGTTCACCATAAATCAGGAGATGGAGATTAATTCTACTGGCTCTCCGTCACTTGGAACGGATTAATTCTGACTTTCTGTCACTAAGCACTTGGTATTTGGCCATCTTCATTCTGAGCACCAAATGGTTGACACGAATGTCAAATAGAACTCTGCTGTGTGTCACCCTTAAATCAGCCTAACTCTTTCAGACAAAAACAAATGGCATTTATGGATTTAAGTCATTAGATTTTCAATTCACATTAATTAATCCTCCTTGATTCATTATGTCATCAAGTATTTACATTTTAAATTGGAGGTAGGATTTCTGTGTTAAGACTCTTATTTGTGCCCTATAACTAAAGTAAAATGGCTTTTGTGAGTATCCCTTATTTTCCCTTCTTAAATTATCAATTTTTATAATGAAATTAATGTTGGAAAATTTAAAAAATGACAAGGTATTCATTGTTCTGTTTGCTATAATTTGAAACTCACACTTAAGTATTTTGTAGTTTTACATTCCTTTTCAACCCATTCAGTGGAGAATGTCAGCTTTTCTCCCAAGTTGTGTGTTAAGTCTATTCTAATATGTACTTAACATCAAGTTGTAAACATGTAATAAACATGGAAATAAAGTTTAAAAAAATCTTGGTTGGAATACCATATGCAGTGAGTTTTATCTCAGTAGAAAAGTAAACAGATACAGAGCCGGCAGGAAACATCAGAGAGACAGACAACCTAGAGGACTCCATATGTTAACTCTATAGTTGTGAGTTTTAAAAATAACGACCATTTAGACCTACATTTTTTTCTGATGTAATTTTGCCTATTAATTTTAAAAAGTGCCAAAGAATACATTATAATATGTAATCATCAGGAGTTCAGAAAAACCTTCTATGCCTTAATGATTGAGAATCACATTCTGTTTCTTATTAATAGCTAGAGAGCAAAGAAAATCCTATAAATCTTATAAGAAAATACCAGGAGTTTAGACTAGTGTTTTCAATAGTGGCAACTACTTTACTAGTGCCATTTTTTTGAAACAAGCAAGGGGAAAAAGTCAAACCAATTCACAGGAAACCAGGATTAAAATGTTCACAAAAATATGTAAATCAAGCAAACTATTAAACTAGGCGTGCAAACCAGAAAATAAATGCTTCACAGACAGAAGGTAAGTCTGGCACAAAACGAGAGTGCTCAATCCAGAAAGATATTTATCTTGACAGCAGAAAGGACTTACCAGAATAGACAAAAGCCCTTTTATTATGCTAGGAGGGATAGACGGCCTTTTATTAAAGTAGCCTTATTCAAACCAGATCCCAACAATGTCAAAAATCCTGTATCAAAGTAACAGATCCTTAACCTGAGGGAAGACTCACCAGGGCAGAAATGGTGACTTACAGGAGCAGAGCACTCAGCGGTGCAAAGTGAGGACTGCATACGTGCTCCGAGAATCACCAATTCCTTCCCATAGCAAATTTTTCAGGTCCCATTTACGACACCATATGTGTAAACCTAAACAACAAACACACAATGACTCTCTAAAGTAAAAGATCTTTACTTGGGAATAAATAATAGTAATGAGGATGTAAATGTCATAGTAAATAGTACATATTAATGGTCAGTGATCTCATAAACTAGTTCCTTAGTTTGTCTAATAGATTGAAATGCAGATGATAAGTAGTCTAGGGGAAAAGAGAGGCTTTAGAGACTGGTTTCGGCTATACCTATCACAAGATTTTGATTGGTCAGATGGCTTTGTCTGGGCTGGATTCAGAGTGTATTAGCAGAACACAGCCATGAACTACCACTGCAAATTTCTTTGATGCCAGCCTACTACAACAATGTTGAGTCCGTTTCTGAGAGAGAGGCAATTCTTTGTACACATACTGTTCTCCTTTGTCATTCTTACTCTGTTAACTTCAGTGGTGGGGCAAGGCTCTGCGTGCAGCAGCTGTTAATAATTGGTAAATGGGTCTGAGGTATAGAGCTGGATTGATCCTTCTGTGACAGTCTTGGAGAAGGACTATGGCTAGAACTATAGAAATAACATATTTGCTACAAGAATGTGCTTGAGACGTCAGTGGCATTTTTTATTTTTTCAGCCTACAATGCAGCAGTCCCCTCAGGATAAGCCGGAGAAGCTCTTGGATGAAGCCATACAGGCTGTGAAGGTCCAGTCATTCCAAATGAAGTGATGCCTGGTAAGAATGGAAATGTGGGAGGCACGGTTGCAGTTCGTGTGTTCCTAAGGAAGCATGTGCAGTGTTTTCTAGAGTTAGGTGGCACCACTATTTCTGGTAAATCTAATCTTCACTGTCCACCAGTGTGTATCTTCAGTCTCATGTCCCTCAAGCACTGTGTGGAGCAATTTCAACAAAGAGCCCTGTTTACTCACATGTATATTTATGGTTTGGGATTGTCTGTCTTCCCTACTAGAATACATGCTCATAAGAGCAAGAGACCCTTCCTTTTATTTACGCATTACTGTAATATTACCACACCAGTGTCTGACCAGAATTACTAGCCTCCTTGGTTCTATAGCTCAGACCTGAGGAGTACTTAGCATATAATAGGTACTCTGTAAATATTTGTTGAATGAATGGATTTAAATGCTTTGCAATTGAATTATTCAGCTTTTTTCTAAATATCTTGAAAACTTTCTTTCCTGAATAGATATTTTTATTGTAGAAGCTAGCTTAAAAATTATACTTAAAACTTATTTATATATTTTCATATTCTAAAGGATAAAGTAAGCGATAATCTGTGTAGATACTGTAGATTCTCTGGATTAAAATGTAAGGAATTGAGCCAAATTGGTTGGTACTTTAAGCTATAAATTACTGTGATGAAGATGATGCTGTCTTATCTTTGTAAAATGTCTTCCTATGTTTTCTAAACCATAATGATATGCTCTGGTGTCTTTTATTGGTTTCATTCCCAACAAATTGGGAATGAAAAATAAATGTCTTGGAATGGAGAAGATGGGTTTGCTATTGCTTGCTTCTTTCTCTTCCTGTATATGGATAGTGTTTCCTCTGTCTCACTGAATTGCTTGCATTTCTGAGTTAAGTGGAACATACGGGCATTGTGAAGGTTTGAAAAATGCAAGAGGAAAGCAAACTTACATGGATAGTCATTTCAGACAGCTCTGAAGAGTCTTTACCCCATGACAAAGCCATGTCAGGATAGTATCTTGCCTCACCTGAATCAGTATGCCAGTTCTCTTGATTGCAGGTAAAACGTGATGAAAGGAGCTAGTTTACTAGTCTCTATAGGCTGAACAGATGAGCCTTGTATTAAGAAGCTTGCAGTCCTAGCTATGTAAGTCTTACTAAGAGTCATGGATCTTTTTCTTTTTAGTAGAGACGGCAAGGTGAAATGATCTAAAGTTGATTTTTTTTTTAATGTGGTTAAAATCATGTAAGTGCTGTATACTTTTAAAACTATGTAACAAGTCCTTGATGTAAAGAGTTTGTACAACCATGATAAATGTTTATTTAAATTAAGCATTCTCATCTATTCTCTTGGTATTTCTGTAGGACAAAAACAAGCTTATGGATGCTCTGAAACATGCTTCTAATGTGCTTGGTGAACTCTGGACTTCTCTGTTATCACCAAAGAGCTACTATCAACTTTGTATCTTTTGAATGTTGAAGAGCAAACATTTGGACCATACCTTTTTCTTGATAAGGCTAATTTTGTTTGTTCTGTATGAAGTTTGTCTGGAGTTATCTTATTCTTCTTTATCTGAGTCACATGGCACTCCTTCTCCACGCAGATGTGCTAAGTGAGAAAAACACTTCGAGAGTACTCCTTTCCTATGCTTCAGCGTCTTTAAGTGTGTTGTCGGTGCATCTCAATTTTCAGACCCTTCGTGAGGATATTCAGGCTATGACGCAGTTGGTTCTTTAATACTTAGATGTTGTTACGCAGCAGCCTCAAATGGACAGGAATTTAACCATTTGCCATTTCAAAACCTATTCACAGTCTGACAGGTAACCATTGTATTTACTGCTTTGTTTCACCACACATGCTTTAAAATACTTAAAGTAAGAAAAGTCTAGCTAAAATTCTGTCTTCACTTGAATACTCTCTTAAAGGACTAAAACTTAAGATATCTGCCCAATAGTTAATAATGACTCCAACAAGTTTCAAAGTTTTGCTTAGGTTGACTTATCTTTATTTTTAGTCCTTAATCATAATTAAAAGATATGACCATTTCTGATGAACTGCGCTACTTGGAGGTCTGCCTGACAGATGAGTTTGCTAAAGGAAGGAAAGTGGCAGATCTCTGTGAACTTGTACAATATGCTGGAAACCTTATCCCAAGCCTGTGAGTAATTACAAATCTGAGGACTTTTGTGTCTGTACTTCCCACTTTATGTTATGTCCTTTATGATTATCAGTTTAAAAAATGTTTTAAGGGTAATTTCTTAACAAATTAGGACCAACATTTTGGTAGGTACTCTCTTATTTGTTTTAGAGTAACTAGATTTACGTTTTTGGAGATATTTGAGGAATTTTGGAAATAGAAAAATGGACGTGCTTGCTATTTTGTTTAACGTCCTGACTGTTAGAAAAATTAATACGACAATTATTCTCTTCCTAATATGTTTAAAGGTAATATCTATCTTGCATATATACAGTATATGTCTGTGTGTGTGTGTGCATGTGTGTATGTATATAGTTTTTATAGAGGTCAGTCAGTGGTTATCTTTTAAATCACATATTTTCCTTATCATGCAGGAGAAAACAACATGGTTCCTGTCTTATTTAATGTTTTCTTCAATGTGTTTGGAAATAATCAAATTCTTAATTTGAATATTTTATTTCTAATCAGCATTTCTTCATACTTCTCATAGTTACCTTTTGGTCACAGGTGGAGTTGTATATGTCAAGTCATTTCCTCAGTCCAGGAAGGACATTTTGAAAGATTGGGTAGAAATGTGCCATGGTGTGCAGCATCCCTTGAGGGGTCTGATTCTTCGAAATTACCTTCTTCAGTGTACCAGAAATATCTTCCCTGATGAAGGAGAGCCAACAGAATAAGTGATTTTCTTTCTTGATTTTTTTGCAATATTTATTTCATTATAGAATATATAAAAGTGTGGAAACATGTACAGAAATAAAGTATGAATAATTCTTCCACCCAGTCAGCATTTAGGTAGCATTTGTATAGAGATTTCCTTTGTAATATAGAACTCCTCAGTATATGTGGTATGATCTAAATTGTACTCATGCCAATTTTATCTTTGGATTATTAGGATCTGCTTTTTAATGTAATTGAGCATTTTTCCACTACATTAAATATTCTTTGAAAATACAACTTTTGGAAGGGGGTTATATTTGGAAATTGAGTTTGTAATGATATAATTGTGAGCCAGCTGGATTTCATAATTATTCCTTTAATGTCTATCAGTTTTTATAATTTATAGACTGCTAGTTACCTTGGAATATAAGTGATTTGAATTATCTGTTACAAGTTAGCTATTAACTCCAGAAAAGAAAAAATAAAAGCCATTCAGAGATACTCCTGTCTCTTGTGTAATCAGTATTCTAGCATCAAAGTCTACTGTTCTTTAATCCCACAGCAGGGGCAGGTGGTCAGCCAATTGTGGTCCTCAGTGGGTGAGCTGTCTTCATGATGGGTCCCCAAATTAAAGAACTTCATTCCTTTTTAAAAGAGTTTATTCATTTATTTTCTTTGATTTTTAATCCTTTTTCAGTTTGCCCCAACAGATTTTGGTTTTTTCTTCTTAATATTTTCATTTATTCCTAAGATGTACAATTCAATGGTTTTTAATATATCTGCATTAATTTTTTTAAACAGTACAGAAAAGATAAAAAATTTAACTATGTAGAGAAATTGATGAAGTTATTTCCTGTATTACATTTTGACTGTCCATTTTGAGCATTTAATTAGGCAATCAATAAAAATGTTTGGAAGCTACTGACATCTCCATCCTAGGAGATGTGGAAAAATAAAGCGGGAAATCCATAGTCTCTTCCCTCACAAAGCTTACATTCCAATTAAAAACAAATTATTCAACAGTAAAATGATGCAGTTAGCAGTACATCCTAAGGTTTAATTTTTTTAGCCTTTTGTTTTTGCTTTTGGTTTGTAGGGATGGGGTCTCATTATGTTGCCCAGGCCATTTTAAACTCCCGGCCTAAAGTGATCTTCCTGCCTTGGCCTCCCAAAGCATTGGGATTACAGACATGAGCCACCATGCCCATCCTTCTAGCCTTTTTGAATTAAGGAAACTGCTACAAGAGCAAGTCCAGTTGGCCCAGGATAGGGAGTTGGGGAAAGTAATTCGTCCTTTAAATTTATACTGTCCTCTCCAGGTACTTTTTTCCCTAGAGTCTGTTCACTTTGAAATTTAACACTAAGCCAATGAAGTTGAAAGTGGTTTTTCATAAAGCATTGGTGTACTACAGAGATAAGTAGGAAATGCACAAAGGAGAGGGATGGTAGTAAGTTGGTTCTGTAAATACTGTGTAAAGACTTTTCTGTTTCTTTGCAGCGAAGAAACAACTGGCGATATCAGTGATTCCATGGAGTTTGTACTACTCAACTTTGCAGAAATGAACAAGCTCTGGGTGCGAATGCAGCATCAGGGACATAGCCGAGATAGAGAAAAAAGAGAACGAGAAAGACAAGAACTGAGAATTTTAGTGGGAACAAATGTGGTGCGCCTCAGTCAGTTGGAAGCTGTAAATGTGCAACGTTACAAACAGGTTTATATCTTTTTGTTACCTCTTCTTATGTTCTGAGATAAAATGAAATCTGATTTTTAAAATCAGAATATTTTTGTTATATAATACTACATTGAAAAAAATCTTAAAATGGCTTTTACTGAAGAAGATTTAAATAAACAGAAAGATATATATGCAATGTTTGTGGATTGGAAGATGGAATATTGTCAAGATAGCATTTAAAAAAAAATTGATCTCAGTTAATGTAATCTCAGTCAAAATCCCAGCAGACTCATGAAGAAATAAAGAACCTGGAACAGCTACAAAAATTTGAAAAGGAAGAACAAAGTTAAAAGATCCAAACAACCCGAATTCATGATTTAAAGCTACAGTGAGAGCCTGTGTGGTATTGGTGAAAAGGATAGACACACAAATCAGTGGAGGGGAATAAAACAGGGAATGGCAAACTTTACCTGTGAGGGACCAGATAATAAATGGTTTTTTACTTTGCAAGACTGACGCTGTACAACAAGCTTGTCCAACCTGCGGCCTAGGGCAGCTTGGAACGTGGCCCAACACAAGTTTGAAAACTTTAAAACATGAGATTTTTTGCTTTTTTGTCTTAAAAGCTCATCAGTTATTATTAGTGTATTTTATGTGTGGTCCAAGACAATTCTTCTAATTCTTCTTCAAGCCAAACGATTGGACAACCCTGGTCTACAACTACTAACACTACAGATATGGTGCAAAAGCAGCCACAGACAATATGGAAGTGAATGGGCATGGCTGTGTTCCAGTAAAACTTTATTTGTAAAAACAAGCAGCAGCTCAGTTTACACATCTCTGACTAGACAATCCATAATAGACCCAGATATTTATGATCAGTTATTTTTTATAAAAGTACACAGGCAACCTTTTCAGCAAATGATTCTGGAACAATTGGATGTTTATATGCAAACAAACACAAAATCCTGAACCTTGACCCATCCCTCATACCGTATAGAAAAAACACAATAATCGATCAGAGACCTAAATATAGAACCTAAAACTGTTAGAAGAAAACACAGAGGAAATCTTTATGACCTAGGATTAGACAAAGATTTCTGAGGATACACAAAAAAGCACAAGCCATGGAGAAAAAAACTCACTTTTGAGAGGCCAAGGCAGATGGATCACTTGAGTCTAGGAGTTTGAGACAAGCCTGGGCACCATAGGAAGACCCCATCTCTACAAAAATTACCAAAATTAGCTGGGCATGGCGGAATGTACCTGTAGTCCCAGCTACTCAGGAGGCTTGAGGTGGCAGGATGGCTTGAGCCCAGGAGGTGGACATTGCATTAAGTGGAGAGTGTCCTGCTGCACTCCAGCCTGGGCAACAGAACAAGACCTTGTCTCAAAAAGGAAATAGCTTTTAAAGTTTAGAAGTGAAGTCTTGGTGAGAAAAATCTCAAATACAATGTTCAAGTTAGTAGTACAAATGTGTTACTAGTTTAAGATTTTGAAAACAGATTTTAACTCTTACATGTGTTTTTTTTCTCTTTTATATTGTTTTGACTGGCATATTGGAGAAGTTGTAAACTGTAGGGATGCTCTGGCTAAAGAATATCTCATGGAGTGTATTATTCAGGTAGGTGGGAACATTTATTTCATTTTTTTAAAGGACCTTTTTTATCTTTCATTAAATTTAATTGTTTTGAAAACATTTTGAAGGAATAGGAAATAAGCTTTCCTGAATAAAGAACTTTCCTTGCTGGGTGTGGTGACTCACACTTGTAATCCCAGCACTTTGGGAGTTGAAGGTGGGAGGATCTCTTGAGGCCAGGAGTTCAAAACCAGCCTGGGCAACATAGCAAGATGCCATTTCTATAAAAAATTGAAATCATTTTTTAATGCTTCTTTTTTTATGTAATCTTGCTTCTTCTAAAAATAATTTAAAAACAAGATTTTCTGTTTCTGACTTATAACTTGGTCTTTGTATCAATGTGGTTTGTTTTCCTCCAAACTGTAGGAATGAGTCATCTGAGTTTTCTCGGTCTCTGTAGCTTTAGTTTAATTGTAGGTGCACTTTGTTTATTGGAATATTTCTGTCTGAGCTTGTGTTTAGTAGAGAGATTCAGAAGTCATGTGTATAAGATTATTATTATTAGTTGTATAAGATTACAGTGTTTTTTCCCCACAAATGTGAACTTTACCATATGTGAGTTCAGAATATTATGTGAAATACTTTTACTTGTATTGATCACTTGATTCTCAGGTTTTCCCTGATGAATTTCACCTCCAGACTTAGAATCCTTTTCTTTGGGCCTGTGCTGAGTTACACCAGAATGTAAACGTGAAAAACATAATCATTGCTTTAATTGATACGTAAGACCTTCCGGCACTGGAGGACACATGCTCGGACTTGGGAATAATGAATTTTAAACATTTTTTGAATTATTTGTTTCTGTTACATCTTTACCATACCAATGATCTTAATTTAATTATACTATAAATAATGTAGCTTTGTGAGTATGAGTACTAGGTACATGCCTCGGTTAGACATGAAAGAGGCTTAACTGAAATGTGCAGGAGACATGAAGATAATCAACATATTTATTCTGTGCATTTAATTGACATTTAAAGACATTGTACAGACTTATTGTTTAAATTGTACACATCCAAAGATCATATTGAAGAACAAAATTTTGTTTTTTACCATATCTTACAGTGGGAACTCATTTGATTTAGAGTAGCCATAAGATACAGATGATTGAAAATGTTCAAGTAATCACTCTATCATCACATTTTCTTAAAGAAAAAATTTTAAGTATCAAATAAGTTTAGTACATCCACTTTAAATTTTATTTTCTTAGATTTTTCTTTTTCAGACAGAGCCTGACTCTGTCACCCAAGCTAGAGTGCAGTGGCGCTATCTGGGCTCACTGTAACCTCCGACTCCAGGGTTCAAGTGATTCTAGTGTCTCAGCCTCCCGAGTAACTGGGATTACAGACATGCACCACCATGCCTGGCTAATTTTTGTATTTTTAGCAGAGACGGGGTTTTGCCAGGTTGGCCAGGCTGATCTCAAACTCCTGAGCTCAAATGATCCACCTGCCTCAGCTTCCCAAAGTGCTGGGATTGCAGACGTGAGCTACCGCGCTTGGTCAATGGGTGACTTTTTTGCAGCTGTGTTGTGTAGTAGTACAGAATGTCTGTCCCACTACTTGTAAGCATTGTCATGAAACCAGAAACCTAAGTGAAGATTTGTCTCTGCAAACACATTTTGTACGTTTTTTAAAAAACTAAGTAATTAGGTTTAAAGTCTGAGAATTTAGATTACAAAA